ATTGAAAATGGCCGTTTAGCTCGACCAAAGCCACACTGGGGGTGGCTGTAGAAGAGCACCATTTTGATGGGGGGTTTAATACCTGACCAGAGGACTCCATCTATTCTTATAAGCAACTGGAGTTAAAGAACTGCTTGAGGACTTGTAGGATACTGTCTGTCATGAAGGATGCAACTCCAGCAGCCTTTGCCTCTAGGGAAGGTCAGTTAGGAGCCTGTCAGCTGACTGATAATTCATTGTCCAAACCAGCACACTGCAAGTAAAAGGGGTCACTAGGGATGGTTCGATCGCCATGGTCCCGGGCAGCCTGGGACGTGTGAGCACTCTAGATAAGGGAGACAAATCTCAAGGACAGGAGCCTATTAGGGCACGAAACAGTCACAGGGTCACCAGCAAACAAGCTTGAACTCAGAGCTCGGATTGTTCTGCAGGCTGGAAAAACACTGAAGTTATTGAGGGAGAACCTGCGGGAATGAGTGACATTTGCATGTCTATTTGTCACATCCCAGCCTGGGGCTTAGGATAAACTGATTCCCAACACTATCGAGGAAAACATCTCCAATGTAGTCAAGATACATTCTGGTGCAAAGTAGGGCCAAGCCTGCAAATATCGGACTCCAGTGGCTACTGCCTAGAAGACCTAGGACAGGTTGACTGACATGTAGATGTCAGGACCACAGATTTCTGGAAGCACACAGACGAAATCTTCCCTTTGCAGGACATCGCTTCAGATGTCTGGAAAGTGCCTTCCCGCTGTCTTTGATCTTGCATGAGCTAAGCAGTTTCTTCAGCCCTAGGAAATGTGATGTTCCAAGAGGAGCACACAGGTATTTGAGATGAGGGCCCTCCAAACGGAGGATAAAGCTATGTAACAGACGCTTGGTAGAAGCACATTCCCTACTGATGGTTTCCATTAAGCAGCTAGGGTTTCCCGGGAACCTCTTCACTGAACTGAATTTGGCTATCACACTGACCTGCCATCTTACACATGCAAATTCTTTCCATTCGACCCTAAAGAAGCATTCACTCCATTAAACTTGGAAGCACAATAGACTGGAAATGCCTGTGTGGATTCTCTGGTGCTATGTGACTTTCATCTAATCCCCTCACCCTTGGATTCTTCCCCGGAGAATGAGGTGGTGAGGACAAGATGATTAAAAGCCTTTTCAAGTACTAAGTAAACTATGAAGGAAAAATCTAAATCTAAATTTGTGGGAATTTCATTCACTCATTCTACTAATTTTTATTCCATCCCCCTGTCAGCTACTACACTGGACACAGAGGACATAGTGCTCCTCTAATGTTAATGCCTCCAGAGATCGTAAAATAAGCTGCCTCATGTTTCTCATGTACTGACCCAAATTTACATTGTCTAAGATGTGACGATAACTCTTCCTATGTATTTCCTGGATTTCTTTAGTAGTATTTTGAAGGTATAATATAGAAGTGAGGGTTCTTATAATCTTGCAGAGACCTTTTTGCAAGTGTTGACATGCAGTTAGTTCCTATTGGTGTAGTTCTCACCCAAGTACACATAGATGTACTTCTGTCTAATACAGCACTGAGCAAGCTTCCTGCCACTTCCTCCTCCTGCTGCAGAGAAGCAGATGCTGCCTCCAAATCAGCATGCTTCCCCCCATCAACCTCACAAAGTCATTCCTTTTATTGGGGTTCGAGACTCTGCTCCCAGAACAGCCAAGATGGCAAGTCAGCCAATGCATATCAACTGGCTTTGATTTCTACACATTATACTATTACATGCACATAAAATGGCGACAACTGCTAAAGACTGCTATTTGGTCCACTCCCTGTTTTCTGGGTGTTTGGTGCTTTGGCTGGCTTTTCTGAATGGTGTGCTGGTAAAATTGGGCACCTGTAAGGATGGCGTCTACCGATGTAGAACAAAAGGAGACTGACCTCAGGGTTAGTCAGTCTCACTTGTTAGCTTGATGAGATCTAGAATCAGCCAGGAGATGGGACTCTGGACATGCCTGGGAGGGATTATTTTGACTAGGTTAGCTGAGGTGGAAAGGCTCACTCACTATGGTTAGCACTATACCTGGGGCTTGTGTCCTGTCGTATAAACCTGAGAAAGCTGGCTGAGAACTGGTATTCCTCAAAAGCAACTGAGTAGAGAAGGGGTTCCCTAGGCTCATCGGACCTCCACAGTATCACCTAGGTGGCACTGGTTTTACAAGTCTGAGAGATGCAAGACTGAGGGAGTCAGGAAGTCCTGATCCGTAGTTCCTGGCAGTGTATATGGCAAGACAGTGTGGCAGGGTTGGAGTCCTGCAAGGAGGCCCTGAATGGGCACTAAAGGTGGAGCCCAAGTTATAAGGGAGATGTCAGGATGTTGGGGATGTCAGGACCCATGGGCTGTCTACCAAGGCAAGCTACAGGTGTAGAATGGAGCTGGTATGAGAGATTCTATATAGGCTGGAGGCAGCAGCACTGGAGGAGGAGAGGGGGCAGAAACCTTGTGAAGCCCATCAGTTATGAGCTCCAGATACCAGGCATGGAGCTGCAGAAGTTGGTGTTTTTCCTGCTAGATTTGGGTCTTGCTTTGATCTGATCGTTCCTTGCTATGTCCCCATTCTTCCCTTTTGGAATATGAATGCTTATTCTGTGCCATTGTACATTAGAAGTACTAAACTTGTCTTTATTTTGTAGTCGAGAACTTTGGACGTTTACATTGGTGGAACTGTTAGTAACTATGGGGACTTTTGAAGTTGGATTCTATTTTGCATCATGAGATGAGCATGAGAGTTTAGGGATAAGAGGTGGAAGGTATTGATTGAAAGTGATGTAATTGGGTGTCATATTGACAGGGACTGGAGCTGCAATGGTTAATCTCTATTGTCAACTTGATGAGCTCTAGAATCTCCTAGAAGATGGGCCTGGGCATACCTATGTGCTATTCTCTTGATTAGGTTAACTGAGGTGGGTAAAACCAGCTGCTGTGGGTGCCACCATTTCCTGGGGGTGGGGCCTAGACTGCATACATAGGAGAAGGCTGGCAGAGTACCAGCATGCATTGCTCTCTGCCTCTTGACTGTACATGCAATGTGACCTGCTACTTCATGCTTCTATCCTTGTGATTTCGCCACCACAGTGGACTCTAACCGCCATCTATAAACCCAAATAAGACTTTTTCATCCTTAAGTTGCATTTATAAGATTTTTTTTTAAATCACAGAAAAAGGGAGAGTAAGCTAGTGCTTGTCTGTACTTGAGTCAAGGTCTTGCTGCATAGCTAAGTCTAGCCTTCAACTCACTGTCTTTCTGTCTCTGCTTCCCAAGTACTGGAATGCAGGTGTGTACCACTATACTTAGCTTTGATTTCAAGTTTATCCCAAGGCAGGGCAAAATTGGAATGTATTTTATAGAGTCATTTATTGTAGAAAATTCTTTAAGCCCAGCTTTAAAAAAATTGCTATTCACCAGCATATGGACACAACTTGGCCATACAGAATATTTCTTTGTAATGAGGGTATAGTAAGTTTCAGTGAAAGGTGAAATGGTATATACTCGTCATTCATCTTATATTTACTGAGAGCAAATACTATTCCAGAGAATGTGTCTATGGATGGTACAGAATCCTGCTAGGTCCAGAAATGATGCCACAGTGAAGCAATGCTATTCCTCTATGTACCAATCAACTTCAAAAGTACCAGCAGAAGCTGGAAGAACTCTGAAAAAAAAAAAATGAACACATGTCTTGAGGTATTGGAGAAGACTTCTGATTAATACTGCTTCATTTGTATCAGATCCAAAAGCCTGTGGAGGAGGAAAAACAACTTGATCACGATGGTACAAGCTCTTACAAGCCTTATGAATGGACTTCGAAGTGTGGAGTCTTAGAAAGAAAGTGGGGGTGGGGTCCGTAAAAATATGAGAGAAAAGTATGCAAAGTGATCAAAGTCTGCTGGCTGGAGAGGCAATTCCACTAGTATGCAAGGTTTCTGCATGCTCCTAGGAGGGGCGGGTAGGTAAGAAAGAACTATGTTTCATTGCTTGCCTGTGGGAAAGCCCTCTGGGCTCAGCTGACTGGGGAGACAACACAGGAACAATGGAGATGGAAGGAGCCAGCACAGAGTGGAGGATGCTGGCAGAAACCCAAGGATATCAAGAGTGAAGTAGAAGACTGGAGTGCTTCCAATATCATTCCCACAGGACCATTAGGAAGAAGATCTGGGAAAGAAATGCCCAGGAAAAAAAATGCTGAATATTTTCTTCAACAAGAGGAAAAGAGGTGACATCTGAGGTACTCCAAGTAGAGTCTGGGAAACATTCATTACAGATGTGAGAATAAGAGTTAGATGCCCTGATGGGCGGCGGTGGTGCACACCTTTAATCCCAGCACTCAGGAGACAGAGGCAGGCGGATCTCTGTGAGTTTGAGGCCAGCCTGGTCTATAGAGTGAGATCCAGGACAAGCACCAAAACTACACAGAGAAATCCTGTCTCAAAAAAAAAAAAAGAAAGAAAGAAAAAGAAAAAGAGTTAGATACCCATATGATAATTCGTAGATGAACTTTAATTGATAGCATCCATCTCTACCATCTACATGACTGTAGCCTGTAAATACACTGAGCTTAAAATCTTCGATGATATTTTCAAAAGGAGGACACTGTGCTGGCAAGATGGCTCTGCAGGGGGAAATCACTTGATACACAGGCCTGATGACGTGAGTTTAATAATGGGGAACCATGATAGGAGGCGAGAACTACCTCCTTCAAGTGTTCCTCACATCTCCACACATGTGCTGTGTCTATCCACTCATGAAAACCACATAACCTAATAATAAATAAAAAATTTAAAAATTGGAAAAGGATCACACTGATTGGAGAAAAAAATTAATGTCATTTTATTACTGAGAATGGATACAGCAAATATTAAAATATCCTTTCCATGTCAACTATTTGCTCAATCACTTACTTGCTTTTAAATGTTTCATGTATAGATGCTAATTGCCAAAGAAAACCACGCGACTAATTCTTACCTCGTGGTTCTGGCTGGAAAAGTTTGTGAATTATTGTTCTGTACATAGACTCATTGTTAATCAGCAGTTGGGCTGCTTCCATATTCACTGGATTTTCCAGTCTAGGGTGAGAAAGCAGAATCTAAAAGAAAACACGAACAACAAACAAGTTTAAAATCAAAGTTTCTTGAAATAACAAGACAAGCCAGCACATACAAACTCAAGTAAGTGCCTAGTACGTCTATACATACTAGGAAACAGGCATAGAGATGATGAGACACGGAACATCCCTGGGAAACTCATTCTATCTTGGTTGTATTTTGTGTATTCATCAAGCACTGGGATCAAAGCAAAAGCTTTTTCCCCTATAACATTTATTCCTATCATATAAATTTAAATTGGATTTTTATGTAGAGTAAGCTGAGTAGTGGAGAACAATGATAAAGACTTCCATTGCATACTGATAGGAGACCACATTAGATCATGGCTAAACACACAGGTACAGAAGCTGACACACATGTCTATATCCTTCTTGGTCACTACATGATTAATTTAGTATCTGTAGTAGTTTTCTGTGATTGTTGTGACTACTGCAAATTAGCATCTTAAAAGAAACAATCTTATAGCCTCTGTATTTTTAGGTGGAAAACCCAGGATGTCAGACTAGTTTCCAGATTTAACAAGGTCAGAGGCCAAGCGTCAGCAATCTGGGCTCTCATCAGAAGAATCTGGATGAAGCACTTTCCATGTTCTTGTAAGCATGAGGCCAGCTGAATTCAGTTCCTCATAGGATTGAGGATCTCATTATTAATCAGACCGTTAGCTGTGGGCCACCCTCTGCTCCTCCAGGCATCTCTTCAGTCCTTGCCTTTGACATTAGGATCTTGGAGCTAGCCATGGTGTGAGAGAAGCTCCCTGAGCTTGGAATCTGACCTCTCCTTCGGTCACATTTCTTCTTCAACTGCCTTCGCTCGTCTACCTTGTCGTGTTAAGAGAGACCATGAACACTTGGCGTAGTATAGACTAACACTCTTGTCTTGGGGTGAGCTGAATGATAGCCAAAATTCTGTATGTATTCCTTTCACAGTAGAATGTAGGTTAGTGTCTTGGGGGAGAACCTCTTTAAAATTCTGTCCAGCACAGAATCCACGCACTTGGGCCAAACAGATGACCAGTGGTGACCACAATTTGCTCATTGGTCACCTCAAAAATTGCTTTCCCCTAAACCTAAAATATTTGTTTAATCATTCAATATTTTGAATGTTGCCTGTTATAATATGCAGGCTAATAAAATACAGTCGATAGAATTACTGCATGTGTTACTATTTGTGCTGGTTTGTTTTTGTTTGTCAACTTGACGCAAGCTGGAGCCAGCTGAGAAGAGGGCACCTTAACTGAGGAATTGCCTCCATCAGTTTGGCCTGTGGGCAAGCCTGTGGGGCATTTTCTTGATGAATGATTGATGCAGGAGGACCCCGCCCACTGTAGGCAGTACCACCTCCAGGCAGGTGGTTCTGGGTTGTATCAAGCTGAGCAAACCACGAGGAATGAGTCTCTGCGCCAGTTCTTGACTCCAGGTTTCTGCCTTGAGTTCCCGCCATGGCTTCCCTCAGGGATGGACAGTGATCAGAAAGTGTAAGTCAAATGAACCCTTTCATCTCTATGTTAATTTTGGTTAATGTTTTATCACAGCCACAGAGAAACAAACTACGACGCTGCTAGAATATTTAAATATGGTTGTAGGGCAAAGTGGACAACTGGGGCTTAGAAGTTAGAAAAGAAACCATGTAGGCAAGAGAGCTCAGTGGGTAAAGGTATTTGCCACTAAGCCTGACTATCTACATTCAGTCCCTGGAACCCACCTTGTAGAAGGAGAACTGACTCCTCTAAGCTGTCCTCTGACCTCCACATGGCCTGTCGCTGCCCCCCAAATCAAGAGAAAAATGTAAATAAATAATTGACTATCATGAAAAAGTAATGTGTGGTGGCACACGCCTTGGGAGATGGAAGCAGGAGATGGTGAGTTCGAGGCCAGCCAGGGCTTCCTAGTGAGACCCTACCTTAAAACAAAGAAACGGGCAAGCAACCTGACTCACGGGTAAAGGTGCTTGCTGCCAAACTTCACTACCTGAGTTGGAGTTCTAGGACCCACATGGTGAAAAAAGAAACTTCTCCAGCAGGTTGTCCTTTGCTCTCCATGTGCATGCTGTAGCCCATGCACACAGTAAATAATAAATGCATACAGAAAACCACAAACAAAACCAAAACAAAAAATACCGAAGTTATAACAGACTTTCTCAAATGAAAGTCATCATTTTGACATCTGATATTTCAACGGCAACCAAGAATTCTCTGCTATTACTGGAGTTTTCTCTTTGGGAAACACCTTCAGGCTACATTTTCATGATCATAATAATTGCCTAAATAAGGATTCAGTGTGGGTCTCACCATACCTTTCAAAGTGGGTGGGAAGCAGATGAAACTAATCTTCAGGAGCAAGCTTTTGGTCTCTGGCTGGAGAGAATCTTACTCAGCAAGGCACATTTAGTCAATTTTATTGCATAGTCTCTCATTAACTGCTGTGTATATGAGACTTATCCACATAACATACACACAGCTTTTGCATGCATTTAATGATTTTTTTTTAAAATTGGCACATTAGTATATATTATTAGTTATATATATTATGAGTGTGTGTGTGTATATATATATATGTATATATATATATATATATATATATATATATATATATATATGTGTGTGTGTGTGTGTAAGTCGGACACACTGCTAAAGGAGCCAAAGAGAACAAAGGCCCAAATTAGCCACACGGTGATGGAATTTCAGTAACAAAAAGCTCCAGGAATAAACGGAGAATTCTGGATCTTCAGTAAGTGCCTTTAACAGTAGAGATAGGTTTTATAACATCCATTTGATTGCAGCCCATGACTTTGAAATTTGTTTTATGGGTGAGTATTGATATTTGCCTTTTTATTTTATGTGGAATTAGAAATTTTCTAATTATTTAGGATTGCAATATTTTGGGGTGGTGATGACTAGTATTTTTAAAATACTTTAAATATATTTAAAGTACCATCTCTGTGAAAGGCAACGACATAGTAATTAGAAATATGCTTTTTTTTCGTTCAAAAGAAAGTAAGCAATAATTATGGTATGGATTTGTATTGTCCATTACCAGTAAATGTCGGTCACAGGCAGTGATTTAAATGAAATTACTAAAGTGTAAGTGAAAACTCAGCTCCTTGGCACATTTCAACCAGGCTATAGGCTATAGTCCAGTAGAAAACAGTTCAGAAAATAGTATGTGCAGTGAAGTGCTTGGACTGAAATCTAAATCCTGTTGGGTACCTGGGCAAAGCAAGTGCCCTTAAGACCAGAGCCATAAATCCTGCCCTAGGAAAAGGAATCAGAAAAGACAAGACGTGCGAGAGGGAGAGTCGCTTGACCTGTCTGGGGTGTGAAAAGCCTGTTCCTGAACAGTCTGGAAAGCAGGGAGGGAGACCAGTGACCCTCTGATGGAGAGCTGGCCTAGCATTCATTATTCAAGATTCAAGCTTTGCTTGGGTTTATACTGGTAGGAGTTTACAACTCTGTAAATTCTTTTTGATCAGAATTACATCAAGCAATGTGAGTGCAGAAAAGCATGGGGATACAAACAGAAGCCGGATTGCATAGTGTGAGTCTGAGCCCAGCTGCAAAAAGCAGGTCCCCTGCTCTGGGACAGAATTTGGACGTAACCCTGAAAAGAATTCTGGAGCCAATGGATGATTCTAACAGAAATTTCGAAAAAAGATCAGAAGGAAATACACATAACATTGAGTTAGAGTTTTTCTAGATACGTATCTGATCATACGAATATACATGATGTGTATGTCTGTGCACCACATATATGTCTAGGGTCTGCAGAGACTGGAAGAGGGTACTGGATCTCCTGGAACTGGAGCTATAGACAGCTGTGAGCCACCATGTGGGTGCTGGATGTGGGACAAAGTGGTAGATGATTTGATCAGTCCAGGCCGCCGAGACTACCCAGCTTAGGTGAGGGCCAGAGCCAGCTTTTCTATGCCCATGCCATCAGGCCAACTAACCCACGGTGGTAAGGAGTGGAGCCATCTTTCCCGAGTTTGAGCCAGCTCTCCTGTGAGGTGAGGGGCAGGGGTAGTTCTATGGTAGTGTCCAGCGACAAGTAGGTCCAGATCTCCTATGGCCAACACAGGGCAGTGCTGCCTCTTCATGGCCCTCAGATTTCAACATGAATGATTCCTATGGTCCCCGGTGGTATCTTGGGCCTCTGAGATCAGCAGACTCTAGATACAGTAGGACTACCACAGACCCGTATTCAGCCCTAGGCAGCAGCTTTCCCAGACATCGCCATGGCTCTGGGTAGCAAGCAGTGTAGGCTATTCAGATTTGCATGGCCCCAGCCGTAGCATGACCTCAGATACCAACATGGCCTCAGGTGGCAGATTCATAGGTCTTGATTTTTAATCTTTATGATTATTTTGAGTTTTATTAGTCTAGAAGTCTTTTATTATGTCTAGATAAATTATGCTAGGAGTATTTTTTACTCCCATATTGAGATAAATTACTTATTAATTTCTCATCATGTCCTGGGGATAATGAACTTTTATTTTAATTATCTTTGCTGGAAACAAAATTTGTTTCCTGTTGTGATGGTTAAACTTGATGGTCAACACATAGGACTGAGAGGCAGTTAGCAATATTTTTTCAAATGTATTTCTTTCTGTGAGAAGTAAAAGGAGTGCGGGTTAGTGAATCAAGTACAAAAGTCTCATCTGTTCAATGAAGTTGGTTATCAGATTGAGCAAAGTATGGGCGGGGTGAGATGACAGCATGGGCAAGCTTGATGCCTTCTGATGATGGCTTTTTCTGTTGTAATTTTGCACAGACATGGAACTCTATTTTCTTCAGTCTTTAAATGTGGATTCATTCCAGCCACTCATCAAAATCCCTTAGCCTAGATGTATATTATTAAATACTGCAAAATAGCCCTTTCAAACGAGATTATATTAAATAGCTGCAATGTAGATAGAGTGTCCTGTATTATCAATTGGGGCTACACCATTTGTCCCTTTCTTCTGAGACTCCCACCTTCTTGGAATGAACACTTGCTGGTTCCCCTTGCAGGTTCCCCACCTTGCAGACTGCTATTTTGAACATTTTCAGCCACTGAATACATGGTCCTACCTAAAAATTCTCTCTTACAAATGTATGTATGTTCTATTAGTATATTTGAACTTAAAAGAAGTTCTTTCCATGTAACAAAATTTAGCGTAAATTGTCAAAACAACTTTATGAAATGTCTAGTTGTTTGCTTATATTATGCCTTCAACCCCCCAAAGGCCAGTAATAGAGAGAATTAAGAAGAGTGGGCAATTAGAATAGAGAAAAGACAATTTCTCTCAATTTTGTTGATAAAATTCAATCTCATACATTCAGATTCCTATGGCTTCTCCAGTAGAATTCTCATTTCATATTAGAGCTATTTATGGAAAGAGAGATAAACCAACAATAAAGCTCAGATTTGTCTTCAGAATTCTTGATTATCAAACACCCTTGAACTGAATGTCAGTCACATCTGGAGCTCTCTTTATGCCTCATTTGATTACTTTTGTACATGAAAATCTCAATAAATATTGTGGAGAGATAAAAAAAAGTTACATTTTACTGTCTGTTAAGATGATTCACCACAATATTAACTATTTTATTTTCAGGAATATGAAATAGAAATTATATTACAATTCTGATGAAGAAAAATTGGATTATGTTAAGATTTATCCTCCAGGTATTCCAGATGGTCAAAATTTAATAATTTATCACCGGTATTCTTGATGACAAGTAGATTCCCAGGGAGGATATTGCTAAGTTTCACTAAATAGTCAAAGCAATGCTGCTGGAATAATTAATTTTAGTATTAGATGAGAAAGGAGGGCAGAAGATGGGGTACATGAGTCTAAGGAAGATGGGGTACATGAGTCTAAGGAAGATGGGGTACATGAGTCTAAGGAAGATGGGGTACATGAGTCTAAGGAAGATGGGGTACATGAGTTTAAGGATGTGAGCCCAGCAGTCAATGTGGCATTTGGGAACCAGATATTGACCTGAGGAGAGAGTATCTTTGGTTTCATTATTCACCAGGTTTGATATGAACACTTTGAGAGAGAGCAACTGGCATTGTCTAGAACACAGAAGGAAGCTGAATGTTCTAAGGTGTGGCCAGTGACTCACCTCTCTGAGACAGGTGAGGCCCAGGAACTAGGAAGAACTCCAGAGGCATGCTCAGTGTTAGAAGCTGAAATAAAGCCTACTGCATTTCTATAATTTAAAACACAGCAATGGTTCTTTTTTACTTTCAGAAAAATGTGTATTCTTTGACTGTGAAGGGCTTTAACTATCCATTTCAAAATAAGCCTAAAGATCTACTCTTCAGTTCCTGATGAAGAAATTTTGATTGACACCAGCTTGCTCAGATCTTTTAAGCATTTAAATATGCTGTGTACACGTTAACATATGTGTGATAAACAAGTGGGAAGATTAAATGTGTTCAAGTGTTAATTAGACATGGCGGTGCATGCCTGTAATTCCAGCCCCCAGGAGGTGGAGGCAGGAGAATCGAGTCTGGAGCTACATAGTGAGGCCCTGTCTTAAAGAGAACCTCACACATAGATAGAGCATAACAGTAACTGTATTCTTACCTGTACAGCAAGTAAGATGTTTCGTAGTGTGTAATTTGTGTTCCAGTCATCCTGGCTGTCCAAAATGTCTATACTGGGCTGACCGGTATATGGGTTTACTGTATTAAAACAGTACATTCATTTTAGTATTCAAAACTTACAAAGCATCATAATGACACATCAAGAGAATTATTTCATCTACTTCTCTTTCTTTTTTTCCTATCTCATATGATGATAATCACTGCGTGGGTCTCCAGTGTCCACCAGCTTTAGCTGATTATAGGCTCTTGTTGCAGTAATTTGATACTATAAATTTCAAATATAGGATTTTTTGAGGCTTGTGTGTGTGTGTGTATGTGTGTGGTTCACATGTACATGTGTGTATGGGTGTACATGCCTGTGAATGCCCAGAAGCCAGAGGAGGAGGCGGTGTCCTGCTCCTTAAGTCTCCATCTCACTTCTTTGAGGAAGGGTCTCTCATTGAACCTGGTGGTAGGCTGGTGGTCAGGAAGTCCCAGCAATCCTCTTGCTCAGAGCCCACCTCCCCCACAGTGCTGGCATTATAGGTATGGGTGGCTGTGACTGAATTTTTATATAAGTGATCAGGATTCGAAGTCGGGCCCTTATGCTTCCACAAGCCATCTGCCTAGCTTCAAAACTAGATTTTAATTACAAAAATAATAGTGGACTTGGGAGAAAAAAAGTATACAAGAAAATATGGAGTAAAAGATGAATGTTCCCTGCCTAACAATTCCACTCCTAAGTCACAATGATCTTCCATCTGTATACCTGTAAGTGCTCACGTGTTTATCACATGAAAAGATACTTTTAGATTTTGTTTTCAAGATTTTTTTCATTTAAAATAAATTTGCAACGTTATTTCTAGTTGTATTTATTTATTAAAATTTACTTCCATTCATTTATTTGTTCCTGTGTACATGTGCACATACTCATGTACTCCAATATATGTCTAGAGGTCAGAGGACGACTTGGGTGTTGGTTCTCTCCTTCCACAGTGTAGATTCTGGGGTTTTCGGGCTGCTTAGCAAGTGCCCTTCCCTGCTGGATCACTTTGCTGGCCCTTTTTAAAAAGATAAGGAAGCACCTACTATGTGCCAAGCAATGATGGCTCTAGGGACACTGAAGGGACCAAGAAAATCCAGCTTTTGTAGGTCTTCCTTTTTCTATATAGGGGAAAGATGTAGTTTTAAAGTTCTACTTTAAAACTTCCTATGTAAAAAAAAATGCCAACAGATATTGTCATTACAGTAGGTTCTTTGTATGCATAGGTTTGGAATCCATGGATTCAACTGAAGACCAGAAATATTCAGGAAAAAAATAGCATTCATACTGAACTTGTACAGATATTTTTCTTGTCATCATTTTTGAAACAGTATCGCAGATCAACCATGCACATAGTGTTTGCACTGTTAGGTAATTCAGAGATGATTTGAAGTATATGGGAGCGGCTGCAGCATGGCCATGGGTTAAGTGTACTGGGAACGAGCATCCTTCAATATAGCATATGCTTGTGCTACTATGTCTACAGAATAATCTATAAACCTGGAATTTTAACCTGTAGGGATATATGTAGTTTATATTTGATTAGAAATTGTCAAATCACTTCCCTAAAAGATCACTATTATGTCAAGGAATAATGTCTGCCCAAGCCCAATGGAATTGAATTCTAATGTCTTTTAACTTTTTTAAACAGAAGTGATGAATTACAATATTTTGTGTTTTAATTTGCATCTCTTTTCTTCATAATGAGATTGTTGTGTTGTGTTCTGTCAATCCAGTGTTTGTTCGTGGCTTTCACATTGTTTTCTGCTATGGGTTCTTTATGTATAGATATTCTGTCCTGTACCATGAATGGTCCCCGAGTCTGCAGAATGCAGTTTTGTTATTTTTTAGTTTGTTTATAATGTGCATAACTATAGAGGTTTTTAAAAGTTCATCTAGTTTAGATGTCATGGTTTTCAGTAGTTTTGGGAAAAGGCTCCTATACAAGCCCACAAACAGTTACATTACGTTGTCTATATTTTAGAATTCAATTAAAGAAAATGCAATGCTTCAGGCAATCACTTTATATAGAACCCAGCAGAGCAATCTTTTTTCCCCAAAGATTAAGTCGTCTGGTATATTATTTTTATAAAATGAAAAATTAGATTCACCTAAAATAATACATGGTGCATGGATATATGTATTATTCAGCCATTTAAAATGATCTTTTACAGAATATATAAAAATGCGGGAGAGGGGCTGAGGAGATGGTTCCTCAGTCAAGAGCATTGCTGAGTTTGGTGGCCAGCACTCACACTGGGTGGCTCATAATTACCTGTAACGCCAGCTTTAGGGGATCCAGAACCCTCATCTGGCCTCCACTGGCACCACACTCATGTGCACAACCCCCACCCCTTCACAGACACACATAATTAAAAATAAGAAGTTTTAAAATGCAGGCAAAGAGACACATCATTTAAAGTAAAGCTAGATTCAAAATTATATGTCACATTTCAACTATAGAAAAATGTGCACACAGGAAAATGAGGATGGGCATGGTAAAAATATTGAAAATGGTTTCACTAACTATTGGGATTCAAAGAGATGCCAATTTTTCTGCCTTTTAAAGTTTCTCCAATGAGTGTTCTTACTTTAATTATAAGCTGCTAAAGGGGAACATGGTTATTAAACACCCCCTCAAACACCGACTGCATAGGCAAAGCCACACTTGCACAAGTCCTTACCTTACTAAGTCTCACTTAGTCCTTACCATTTGGATGAAAAGGAATTGTTACAAATTTCACAACTGGAGGAACAAGGTTGTATTCGGGTGTAAAATCTATTGTCAGCTGGAAAACAAGTCCTGTAATAGAGAAATAAACGATGCCATTCAAGTGTTATAGTTAGCTCTAGCCCGATTGAACACTGGAGGTCTTCCTATGATTAAACCTATCCATAGTTTTCTTTTTTTTTTTTCCAATATCATTTGTGGTGATATTTTATTTGTGCTCTAACAGATAAAGCTTGCCTAAAAATCAGAAGGAGGAGCTAGCTGCTCATTAACCATACAGGTCTGTATAGACAGACAGGAAGTGATAACCATACAGGTCTGTATAGACAGGAAGTGATAACCATACAGGTCTGTACAGACAGACAGGAAGTGATAGAGCTGGGAGGAGAGAGGAAGTGATAAGGCGAGGTAGAGAGAGGCGCTCTCTCTTTCTGCGGAGGATTTTGTAGGGGTCAGAACTAGCGGCTGGCTGCTCTGCCTCTCTGATCTTTCAGCTTTTACCCCAATATCTGGCTCTGGGTTTTTTTTTTTTTTTTTTTATTAATAAGACCGTTTAGCAATTCGTATTACAATCATTTTTCTTCTTTAAATTTATTTTTTACATTTGTTGTGTGTGTGTGTGTGTGTGTGTGTGTGTGTGTGTGTGTGTGTGTGTGTGCGTGCGCGCGTATGTGTGCCTTCTACCACATGGAGGTCAGGGATTGAACTCATATCTTTAGGCTTGCCAGCAAGTGCTCTTACACACTGAGCCATCTCACCAGCTGCTTCCCCATGATTTTTTTTTTCTTTGTGTAGCCCTGGCTGTCCTGGAACTCACTCTGTAGACCAGGCTGGCTTCAAACTTGCAGAGATCTGCCTGCCTCTGCCTCCCGAGTGCTGAGATTAAAGGCATGCACCACCACCACCCAGCTCCCCATGATTTTCTTAAATCCCTTCACAGTGCACAAGGCCATTCTGTGCTATGAACCAGACCCTTTACCACCAAACTGCACTGGGTTTTAGTTTCTGTCTCCCACAGTTCTGTCCACTCACGACCTCTGTCCCCTGCACACTGCCTCCTCTCATGTTGGCTGGACTCCCCCTTCCCAGAAACCCCAGCAACCTTTCTTGCCTGTAACATGAATGTCCTTCTTTAGAACTTGGCTAATGTTCACATGTCAACTCAAATATTGGTTCCTTAGAAAGTCTTCCTGACTCCTGCAGATGTGATTGCTAATCCCTCTCTCTTCGTTGACATTCTCTCCAAAATCCATAGCAGCATCTATTATATTTTACTATCATTGTTGTTTTATATATTGGTCTCACCCATTTCACTCAAAAGGATCTCTTTTAAATAAGTAACTGAAATAACTCATAGTTATTAAAGTTTATAGTGGGCCAATTTCCTTGAGGATTTGATTTCTGGACATTTAGGGGGAAATCATAAAGGGAAAACCAAGAAATAGCTGTGGAAGGCTGACATCATCAGGGATTTTGATAGGTATTCCTGACCTCATGAAGACTGTTGGCAGATATTCTTGATAAATATACTGTATTGTGTTTGTTTCTTAAAAATATAGTAACATGGGGCTGGAGAGATGGCTCTGTTAAGAGCACTGTTCCAGAGGACAGAGGTTCAACTCCCAGCACCCCCCATGGCAGCTCATAAACCCCTGTAATTCCAGTTTCAGGGGATCTGACACCTTCACACAGACATACATTCAGGTAAAACATGAATGCACATGAAATAAAAATAATAAATAAATAAAATTTAAAAAGAAAAAATACAGTAACATTAAGGGCTGAGAGTGAGGCATTGGAGTTGATCCCTAGACCTCCACCCCCTCTCAGGATAGATTGATTTTGGAAACACGAACCATCACAAATTGAATTCTGAAGTCCTTGGATCTCAGCTTCCCATTTCAGCAGATCTTCGCTTACAGGAAAAGCGGTAACACCCTGTCATTAAAAAGCAAATAAATAAAATAAAAGCAGGCTAAAATATTCTTTGCAGTTTTGAAAATCAGATTCTGGGTTACATTGAATTTCACAATCTTGACTTTTTTCTTGATAGTTTATTTTTTGGTATGGGGAAGTATTGCTTGTCTAAGGTAGATGCCAGGAAACACATAAAATAATAGTAAATTAAAAATAAAGTGCTAAGAATAGAACTTACTAGTGGTACTAGAAGCTTAAGACTGGGCTGTGTGTTTATAGAGTGTATGTGGAGGGTGTGGCCATTTAGTATCCCAATGGGAAAAGAGGAAAGTAGTTGGGAATTGGAAAGTGTGCATTTCTGGAAAGTTCTGAAGATGGTGACTGTTATGTGGAAGGCGTGATGTAGGGACATTTTCATTGAAAAATTCTGAGCTCAAGTCCATTGTATTTATGAGTTAGAGTTTTTCTTGTGTTATGAAAAAGAATATAAAGCTAATTGTTTTTCTAGTTCTAATTCTGCTGTGGATTTTTGGTTTGTTTTTGGTAATGGATAAATGCACAAAAACATGTTCAATGTGAAAGTATAAAATCCACTGTGCTTCTTTTCCAAATGGCCATTCTCACTGTGTGGAAGTTCACTAGTATAGACTTTAGATCTGGTTAATTTTGATGTGTGATTTTTTTTTAATTTTCATTTTTATATTAAACTTTATAAAACCTATTTAAGAAAAGAAAATAAAAATTCCCAGGTTACTCTTGTATACAAAACCAAACTTTTCCTACATTCAAGTATTGTTTCTATGAAGAGATAAGAATGTGCTTCACAGAAAACCGTAACAGCTATGCTGAATGTACTTGAATAAGTTCAGCAAATTATTTCTGAGCCAGCATAGTGAATAAGTGTGTGAGGTGCCTATCAAGGGAAGCACTGTATTTGTCTTTCTATATTATCTGCACTGATATAACCCATCACTAAATTCTATTATGCCAGAGAACAACAACATTTAGACGGAACAGAAATGTTGTTTGACACGCGGTCCACACATCTGTAACATTTATATAGTTAAACCTAAGCATCTCCAGAAGGGTTTTTTTTTCTCTTTCTTTTTTAATGCGTTTGTAGTAGGGGTGAAATGGATCATGTATTCTGAACTAACACTGGCAGAGCTGTTGTTGGTACCATACTCTTCTATGGATGGCTGTGTTTTTCTGTGTTTTTAAAAAGCACCTTTCCTTTCTCTCTCTAGTTCATTTTCCATCAATTAGTCCACGGCACAAATGAACGCCAATAACTTCACTGGGAGCATTGGGGCTAAGAGTAATTTTTTTCTTCTGCATTAAAACTATGAGGCAAAGACACTTATGCCTTGTGTTGGTAAAAGCAAAAAGCACTAGAGAGTGTGCAGTAGATTGCAAAAATGAAAAAACAAAGGATCAGAAAATGACGGAGTGGATCCTGGGGACAAATCTATACCGACTCTTTCTGAATGCTAGTTTGCTAGTAGGAAAAGGAAACACTACTTAGTTTATGATATTAATGAGCATGAACTGAATCTGCCCGTCACTCCTTGACATCCTCTGATGCCCAGGGCTTCGGCTTAGAGAAATTGTCCCTCACAATGTACTTAAAATTGTTACCCATCATTGCTTTGAAACACTAGTCATTATTCTGGAGTACTGTAGTGGGAAAGTCGGTGTAGTTAAATCGTGGTTTATGGAGTAAACACGGACCAACCTGCTTCTTAAACAGTGTCACTGGATGAAACAACCCTCCACGCCCCGAACTTACCTCATTTCTTTTCTGTTGGAGCTCCTCGAATTCTTTTTGTAGTAAGATGTAAGCCCTGGAGTGCATGGTGAGGTCCACGGAGGGACGGACGGTCACCTGTCCCTTGAACGACTTAGGTTTACTCTTGGCAGAGGTCTCGGGTCACCCTCGGACCCCTGGTCAAACGGCTCCCCAGTGAAATGACTGCTAAGTAAGTTTACGATTTAACAGTGACTTTCCCACATCTGATCCCTCCAAGCTGAGACTTCCAGAAGGAAAACGGGGGGTCCTTCTTATCTGAGATGTCTCACTGCCAGCCACCTCCCCCAAGACAAACTTGAGAGAAGCCTGTGTTGTTGGCACGTGAAGAGGGAATGGAAAGAACAATCCCAAAGCAGCGCCTACAAGTTCTCTTTTTACCTTACAGGTGAAAGCTGTGTGTCTGCTCAGCCAGACAAAGCAAACCAGTTGCTAAGCAACAGGCCTCTGGAGGAGGCGCCACACTGAGGTTGCATCTGCTTCAGCGTTGGAACTGTAGGTCCTCTTAGCCAATCGATGAACGGTCTCAGTGGGGAAGGCCAATGAAGTTAGCATTCAAGACGACAATCCCCGCCCCTCAGTTCCCCTAGGTACCGCTAGTATTGAGGACCTTCCCTTGTCCCAGGACTTGAACTGTAAATTGCAGAAGCTTCTCAAGAGTGCCTGTCCACCATGAGCCTTTCTCTTTGACTGTCAGGTAATAATACATGGCTGGTACCCAAAGCTCAGCACCCAACTGCCCTTTATAAAACTCTTCCAAACTCCAATTTCTAAAACCAAAACCATTTCTGCTTCCAGCTATGCTTCTGCTCTAATTTATTCACATCTTTTCCAGCCTGGAGAGCTGAAAGCAACGCCAACGCTCTTCACGTCTTGGACTGATTCACCGATCTTCACTCAAGTTAACAGTCTTGTCACTCACTCGCCTTGACACAGAGCATCCTCTCATAGGACCGCCGACCGTAGATTTAAACTAATATGTGAGCATGTGATTCCTGCTTAAAGTACTTTAATAGGACCTTGCTTTCTCCCCAGATCGTTTGGCCTCCATCTTCAGCCTTTTAAACGTCGACTGACTTCTCCTATTCTGTTTCCTCTCACCCTGATTCACACTTGAGGTGCCCTGGGTCCTGAACTGCATGTGCTTTTCCCGTGTGTACCAACCATCCTCTCTACCTGGATTTCATTCCTATTCTCTGATAATCAGTGCTTACATATTGGAAGCATCCATATTCCTCTTTAAAGCCTTTTTGAGCCACCAGGATGAATTGTGTCTAATTTAACCTGGATTCATCTTTGCATGTCATTACCATGTTGCCATCACTGGTTTTCTTCAGCACTAGAATATAAATGGTGACATGTTTATTCCTCATTGCATTCTCAGCTCTGAAGCAAGTGACTGAGAAAAGGCACCAAGAGATGGCTGAAGGAATTGAACGGAGCAGGATGAGAGATTGGGGGTACAGAGAGAGAACAGTGAAGTCCTAGACACAAGCAAAGCAAGGGCTTGGAAAAGATGTGCAGATGATAGCTGGAGAGCTTAATCTACCCTCAGCATATAGGGGGTTAATGTCTAGAAGAGGATGACAAGGAGGGTAGCCATGGAGCAGGAAGATCCTCTGTTGAGAATCAGAGCTGACAGAGCAGAGGAGGAGATCAGGTTATGAGCAGAAGCCTCAGGGCAACCAGAACAAAAGAAAAGGAAATGAGAATGTGCCCACCCTGGTGGAGCTGCAGGGACAAACAGGTTGGAAGATCTAGAACCATTTTGAGAATGGGGAAGACAGATCTTTCTGCCTGTGTGGTTTCAGCACTTGTGTAGTTGGTGGTGCTACTAAATCTGATCAATGGTCTACGAACTGGCCACCAGAACCTTGAAGCTTTATCATTAACTCAGTTGCCAGTTTCTGGGAGCTTCTGATCTGAGAGGGCACTGGGGCTTTGGTGAGGAGAGCAAGCGATAGAAACTGTTTGTATGTGCATATGTGTATGTGTGCATGCCTGCACGTTCAGTATCTGATATAGATGCAGCCTGTTGCAGAATATTATGTTAAGGTGTGTTTGTTGCTAGAGTTTTCCTGCCTGGCCCACAGTCAGGATAAATCTCTGCCACCCGCCAGTCCCACAACCGCTCAGACCCGACCAAGTAAACACAGAGACTTATATTGGTTTCAAACTGTATGGCCGTGGCAGGCTTCTTGCTAACTGTTCTTACAGCTTAAATTAATCCATTTCTATTAATCTATACCTTGCCACGTGGCTTGTGGCTTACCGGTACTTTACATCTTCCTTGTCCTGATGGCGGCTGGCAGTGTCTCTCTCACCCAGCTTCCTGTTCTCTCCATTCTCCTCTCTGTTAGTCCCGCCTATACTTCCTGCCTGGCCACTGACCAATCAGTGATTTATTCATTGACCAATCAGCAACACATATGACATACAGACCATTCCACAGCACTTCCCCTTTTCTTTTCTTAAAAAAGAAGGTTTTAACCTTTATACATCTCTAAAGTCAGCTTGGTATATTTGGGAATTTGGGCGTAGCTTCTCTTACTGCTTCCTGCTGGAGGGGGGTGCTGTATCTTATGGGGACACAAAGAATATTTTAGGGTTATGGAGTAGTCCATGAGGGTGTATTGTCTGAGCCAGTTGCCTTGAAACAGTTCTGGATGTTGGATCATCTGGGCCATGGTGTCATCAGAGACCTTTCAGGTGGTCTTGGCTGGTCAAACCTGATGTGTCTTAATCTGGAACAAATCCATAGCCTCTGGCTTTCTGTGGAAACAAAAGCAGAGCCTCCTTTCCAAAGCAACATATCCTTATATCCAAATTTTGAAGTCAAGGTACCTTTAAAATACACATTTTGGCATAACTCAACAGCTTTTACAATCAAATGTTTTTCTGCAGTTAAAAATCCCAAAGACAACACAATCCAGATTCTCTGTGTAATATTCATCTTCATGTGCCTTATTTTTTATATTAATTTTACTGTCTCTTTAAAGACTTTATTTTTTAAAACTATGTATTTGTTTCTATACTGTATATATCACCTTTTTTTGTCTCTTTCAAGCCTACGTATATTTTACACACATTTTAAACTATTACATCTGAATCTGTCTTATTGTGAATCTATTGCTTTAAGCTGCAGCAGCTGTGGCTGCTGGCTCCGCCCACCTCAGCTTCCCAACATGGCGTGGTACTTTACCACTAGCTCTGGGAGCTATCGTGGGTCTATGCTTTTATCCAAGCAGCGTGTAGCCCAGAAACCTCTTTTTTTGTTTTGTACTAGCAAAGGCTAAATCCACAATGCAGCTTAATGTGCCACTTGCAGAGGCCTCATTCCTGCCATATGGCGGCAGGTCGAGCACGCACGCTAGGAACCCGCCAGTAGCTCAAACCAGCAGCTGCCGCTCATTTGAGAGAGACAATTAGGAAGCTGTTTTTAGCTCCGCTTTAGAATCTTTTTTCTCAGATTTTAGATGGAAACTCTTGCCACCACGTTGGACGCCATTTGTAGCTAGAGTTTTTCTGCCTGACCCACAGTCAGGACAAATCTGTCTTACCTGCCAGTCCCACAGCCACTCAGACCCGACCAAGTAAACACAGTGTGTTACTTTTGTTTATGTTGCATTTGTTTAACTCTGTGAAGCTGTGTTACTTTCCCTGGCTAAAGCACTGAATGGTCTAATAAAGAACTGAACAGCCAATAGCGAGGCAGGAGAAAGGATAGGCAGGGCTGCTAGGTAGAGAGAATATGTGGAAGGAGAAAACTGAGAGAAAAAGAAACAGCAGCCATAGGAGGAGGACTCCAGGGGCCAACCACCCAGCAACACAACCAGCAACAGAGTATGAAAGAAAGGTATACAGAAATAGAGAAAAAGAAAAGCATGGAGGCAAAAGATAGATGGGATAATTTAAAGTTAAGGAAGTTGGCAAGAAACAAGCCAAGCTAAGACTGAGCATTCATAATGAAGAATAAACCTCTGTGTGTGATTTATTTGGGAGCTGGGTGGTGGGCCCCCCAAAAGAGTAAAAAAAAAACAACACAGCCACTGCCTAAGTTTGCTACAATAATTAGCATCGGCTATTCACTGAGTCACTTGCAATTGGAAACTTACAAACAGAGTCCAATCTGAAAATAGTCTTGTCTGCATGGCATTGCTATCCTTTTATTAACAAAATGTTAGGTCTTATTATTAATTTATGTGAGTGGGTGTATATGCCTGCAGATGTGCACTGTATTTGTGCAGTGCCCACAGCCAGAAGAGGGCATTGGATCCATTGGAGCTTAAGTTACATGTGAGCTGCAATGTGGGTGCTGGGAATTGAACCCTGATCCTCTGGAAGAGCAGCCAGTGCTTTTAACCATTGAATGATCTCCCAAATGTAAGTTTTAATATACTTTTCACATATACCATGAATGTCACGATTGTACCACATCTCCTAAGCTATATAATTTTCTTCTGTATTCATCCGATTTATTGTGATGTTTTTGTTTTGGGGCTGCGTTGGGTTGGGTGGTTTGTTTTGTTTTTGTTTCTGTCAACTTGATACAAGTTAGGGTCATCTGAAAAGAGAGAACCTCATCTGAAAAAAAAAAACCCTCCATCAGATTACCTTTAGGTAAGACTTTAGGGCATTTTCTTGATTGATGATTTATATGGGAGGGCCCAGCTCATTGTGGGTGGTGCCACCTGGAGCAGGCTGTCTTCAGTTGTATAAGAAAGCAGGCTGAGCAAGTCACAGGAAGCAAGCCAGTAAGCAGCACTCCTCCATGGCTTCTGCATCCTTCCCTGCCTCTTGGTTCCTGTCTTGAGTTCCTGCTATGAATTCCTTCAGTGATAGACTGTAAGCTGGAAGATGAAATAACCCTTTCTATCCCAAGTTGCTTTTAGCCATGGTATTTATCACAGCATTAGAAACTAAACTAGGACCAGGGCTAAACTAACTCAATCAGGAAAATTAACCCCTACTTCCAGTTCCTCTACTATCTTACTTTAATATTTGGTGGTTAAAAAAAAAAGCAGGAGCTTGCAAGAAGGACTTGAGCTATATCACAGCATATCTATGTCTTCTTAACATTTGTAGCTTTGAAGAAATTAGTTTTATGATTTTACATTTCCTCATCTGTTACATGAGTTAATGCTGACACTTGCAAGGACATTGTGAGTAGTAAGAGAAGTAACACTCTTTCACATAGAATAGCTAGCATGTTCTATGAGCTGGACGTTGTATCAAATACCTTGTGGGAATTGATTTCACCATCCAAAATAAGACTAGTAAGTAGGTACTCATGATTTGAATTTATAGATGTGGGACACTGAGACCCAGAGATATTAGACAGTTGACAACTGGAATGCTGCAGATCCAGGATGCAAACCCAGGGTATCTGGCTCTGTCACCCATGCTTTTAACTGCTGGGCATGCTGCCTCCCACTATCCCATGTTCTACCAAGTAAGCACACTGTGCTGCTTTAACAGATTTCTGCTTCCCTCATTAGTTGGTGACAGTAGCTGTTTGCATCTGTAGTTTTGTTTCTATTGACTGTTTTGGCTTCATTTTCACCATTTCTTATTCTTAAATTTTCATTTTATTTTTGAGATTAAAATTTAATTACAGCATATAACCCTTCTCTCTCCTCCCTCCTAACCTTCCCATATACCTCTCCCCACTCCTCTTCAAATTCATGGCCTGTTTTTTTCCCACTAATTATTATTTCATACATATATACATTTATATATACATATATATTCCTAAATATAACCTATTGAATCCATATAATGTATGTTTTTAGGGCTAATGTTTGGCACTGGACAATTAATTGGTTCCTAGGGAGGACCATCTCTCCCACTTCCAGCTTTACAGTTGCCTGTAGTTCTTTGTGTAAGGTTGAGGCATCTTGGGCTTTTCCCCATTCAGGTTGGCATGCTCATTGGTCTCTTCCTTGTTTAGTTCATGTTTGGGTGGTCATGTTGGTGAGAC